TTTATTCAATACAATTTAAACTGTCATTTACGTCTACTCAGATAACACTAGCGTGAATTCACGAAGGATGTATCACTTTTTTGTAGAATATTATCTGTCCAACTTTTTTTCGTTCTAGTTAGGTGGGAAATGACTAAAAAATATCTTTGCTTGGAAAAAGATGAGGACTTGAATGTGATATTGTTCAAGATCCATACCAATCTGTAGAAACATCTCATTTTTCAGATGAATACTCAACCAACAAAGGAAAGAGATCTCCGAAAATCGTTAACATAACTCGTTTGAAAGAGCATTCTACGTAGAAAAACTTTTGGTAAAATGTTTTGTATTCTCATGGAAAATTGATGACATTAGAGTGAAAATACTAAACAATATCGAATTGGGCGAGCACTCTAAAGATTGCTATCATATTTTTGCCAAAGTTTGGTGTTTTTTCAGTGTTTTGATCGTAGCATTGTCATTTTTCAATGAAACTTGAACGAATTTTTACCAAAATGATCAGTGTAAAGGGCTCTATAGAATGCGCTATGGCAAAAATTTTCGGAGATCTCTTTGCTTTGTTGATCGAGTGTTCATGAGAATAATGAGATATTCCCAAAGAATGATCTGAATCTGCCACAACCTCACATTCAACTTTCATCTTTTTCTGAGAAAAGATGTTTTCTAGTCGCTTTCCATATAACTAGCGCTAAAATAGTTGAAAGGCAAATATTTTTAAAAACCTAATACTTTTCCATGAATCATGCCGCAATAGGTTCCATCACTAAGCCTCAGTTTGAAATTTTCAATCAAAATGTGTGCGCCATTATTGAACTTGTCCTGGTCTCATTTAAGAATAAATCTGGAGGTGCATGATACGAAAGAAGGTCAAACAACTAAAACGTTTTTCAAAAGAAATAAAAGATGTCGATGCTCGCAGTATTTCATGAATCCTCGAAACGGTTAACTCTCTGATACTTTTCTCAATGTTATTTTTGCAGCCCGCGGCAATATTTCGGAGAATTCATGAAATTTTCTGCATTGTATTCCATAAGAGTCAGTTTCTCCCATGACTAAAATGATACATTTACTTTTATTGGATTGTTCTTGCAAATAAAATGTCAACAGCACCGCCCGACCAATCCCAGCCAATAGTGCTCCAACAAGGACCATCGCTAGGAAGATTCTGCATCCAGAGCAAAGGCTTAAGTCAAAAAATAAAAGTATAGGAATACAAATAGCCAAGGAGCAAAATATATTACATGTAAAACGCTCATTTTTTGTTGATTTCCTGTTTGTTTTCTTTTTCATCAGTCTTCTTTGGTGATGAAACTACATTTTCATCCCAGATGCTAAGTTTCGATATCATAACTTGGAATAAGAATCAAATTCAGTATTATGAATTCTACAATTCAAAGAATTGTTAGGCTTTGAAGATTGAATAGAAAATAAATCGAGTGACGCTTTACAAGATGAGAAATGCAGCAAATGAATTAGAACTTTTTCTGTTTCTTCATACTACACGTATTGCACTACATAATTCGATTTTTTATATATACACAAAACCATAAAAATGTTTTATCACGGGCGGATTCAATCCCGGGTTTCATTAATAAAAAAAAAGAATAAAAAGCAAATGAACATATAGCACTCTATATAACAGTATTTTTTATTTATTGAGTCACTGAATCTTTAGTGAAATTTGCATTACAACTAGGTATCATAATTGGATGGATGAGTTCAGTAGAGGTCTTCTATCAACGCCAATAGACGGTGCGGGTAAGGATGAGGGTGGCTGGTATATGCGTGGGTTTGTGTTACTATAGAGAAGATACACAAACACACTCACATCAATATCACACCTACATCCTGTTCCTCCATTGCTAAGAAATGAGGTAGATAAGCGATTTTTACAATGTGGTAGGATAATTGTAAGAATCACTGTATGTACTTTTCACTATAGTGATCTTTTCTTTTTCGTAATTGAGACTGAATATCATGCCAGAGAATCGACTTGGGAACAGGAGTGATGAAATGATTTATTTGATTCAAATCAGTGGGAGAACAAGCAACTTGTCGGTCCTGATTAAGGCACTAATGAAAATAACAACAGACGAGCTTTGATCTGTTATTCTGCAGTTTTTTCACAGTGAAAGTGAATTTGGTCGCTATTCACTTTTAAGGAAATTGTAAGTTATCTTTTTAGTTGGACTTATGCTTACATTGAATCGCAAATTATATTTGAGCAAGCATATTTTTTGGCTTCAAACACATGGAATCACATCAGACTTCTCCTTCTCAATCAACAGTGAATTGATCATTATTTTATTCTGAAAAGCATCAAATATTCGAGACGAGTGTGGGTGTAAATGTCGTCTAATACGTTTTGCAAGTATCTTCGGAAACTCTATTAAATACTAGCATATGAGATATAGGAGATATAGAGGATCATCCACTATGGATATTCAGGTAAAACGAAATTCATTTTGTAAATAGTTTCTCGCTTGTCGTCTTAATTTTGATGCGACTTTTACTGACGGAGTTATAAATTTATTTTATTTTATGAATAAAAAAAAACGAAATTAACATCAGCAAAAAGAAGTCCTTGTGCTTCAGAATGAATAATCATTTACTTTACTTTATTATTCGAATTAATAAAATCTTCTAAAAGACTACAACGTACATCACATATTACGATGATTGCGTCTAAATATATTTCAAGTTCGCGAGTGTAATTGATGATTAAAATCGATTTAATTAATTAATAACCATAAATTCTACTCGATCAAGCTCACATATAAAACATTGATCCCAAATTCGTTGTCTACATGGTTTAAACCCAGTTTTGACTGTACGAACATTATCAATAAAAAATATTTCATTGAATTCATCTAAGAAAAGTTCATTTAAGTCAGATATATACGAATCCCCTCGAGAATTTCGGAGCATACGATCTAAAAAGTGTAAACAGAGAAAAACCGAAAAAATTTTGTCATTTTTTTCGAAATACTATCCACAAGGGTGGGTGTGGGTGTGGAGTGTGGATGTGGGTGTGGGTGTGGGTGGGGTGTTGGTGTTGGTGTGGTGTGTGGGTGTGGGTGTGGGTGGGTGGGTGTGGGTGTGAGTGGGTGGGGGTGTGGGTATCAGTGAATAGAACACTCACACCCACCCACACCCACACCTACCCACACCCACACCCACAACCACACCCCACCCACACCCACACCCACCCACACCCACCCACACCCAACCATGGTACTTTGTACCACGAAAATGGTCACTTGTGCTACGACTACGGTACTTTGTACCATGAAAATGGTCATTTGTACCAAGTGTTACAGAGAGACAGGCACAGATGAATTTCCGTTTCTAGACGCTAGCCTTTCAGTCTAGGGAATGACTGTGGTACTTTGTACCATGACTATGGTACTTTGTACCACAAAAATGGTCACTTGTACCATGAAAATGGTCATTTGCACCAAGTGTTACAGATAGACAGGCACAAGTGTATTTCTGTTTCTAGACCCTAGCCTTTCAGTGTAGGGAAAAAACTAAATAGATGAATAAATCAGAATTATAACAATTTTTATAATTGATACGCGCGCTCTGAAAGTTTATTTTGTTGAAACTGTTCATATTTATTACTTTTCTATCAGATTATTTGATTTATTTAACATTGTAATATTGAAAAAAATTATTTGTATTGTCATATACATCTTTAGTGCAAAACTTCTATTCTCTTAATGATAATATCTACACGATGCATCTCACAGGAAGCAGCAGATATAATTCTATTATTGGTTTCATCGGTTCAACTACTATATTAGCCTGCTATGCATATTTATTTTACTGCTCAGTAAGCTACCATGCATATTATTCTTTCTCTCGACTAATTTTCGCATATAGTGTTGAGTTTTAGCTAAAATTAGAACTCAATTACTTCATATTTTTTAAGTTTCGTCTTATTGTTACTCTTCTAGATGGAAAATACCAATGCTTTACTCATTAACATCTAAAATAAAATCTTTCCTCTTTATCAAAAACTTGTTAGTGCAATTCCTGTGAGATTACAACGCGAAACGTGATCTGATCACTGTCACTGAGCACATAACAATGACCTCATTCGATCGGTTTATGGAGTGATTTCTTCATCATCCTTTACAGAAACCTCAAGAGTTTCAATAAAGATATAGCTCATACATTCTTAGCAGGTCTTAGTGATATGGTGTCTATAATAGTCTGCGGATGCCGTCTGTCACGTTTTGTAACGGTGTCCCAAGGTGTCTGTAACGACCTCTAACGGGATCTTAATGTGCCTATGACGGTGTATCACAACTCAATAATGGCTTAATAATGAAATATTAAACATTATTAAATATTTAATATTTTAAATAACAAATATCAAATACTCTAAATCTTAAATAATAAATAGTAATAAATGCTAAAAATATATTTAAAAATATTAAAAACTAAAACAATATTAATTGATTATTAATTAATTAATTCATAATTTCTCTGATTAGCTAATTCGTTAATTGATTTCTAATGGTCTGTAATGAGGAGTAACGGTTACCATGGAAACATATCTAATAATGTATGGTTTCGCGCCGTAAGGTTACTAACGAGCCATAGAAAAGCAGCCACTTCTTATTGCCCTCCGTTGCTAGGGAAATGCACCCAATGACCTTTGACTCCGGTTGCTAAGGTCTGTAATGGGGTCCTGCGTTGCTATGATCTGTAATGGAGGGGCCTAGGGGGGAGCCGCAAAACCTCGATTTAAAACTTACACTCACTATTTTCTTCGAAAACATACGTGAGTTCTACAAAATAACGTTATTTGGTCTAAAAGGAAAGCAACAATTCCACTTGATTTACATACTATTGGACAAGAAAAATATAGTGCCGGTGTCTTATTGTATGATGGAATCTCATCTCGCGGTTTAATTCCAAATCCTTCACCAATTTTCATTGATGAGTCGTTGAAGTCGGAATACCAAAAGATTGACAAGAAAAGAATTACAATGTATAGATTTTTATATATTAAATTAGTAGAACAACAGCTGAAACCTCATTTCGATCAATTATATGGTGATGTTGATGTTATATGGCAAGATGATGGTGATTCAAAACATCGATTTCATTATGCATTAGAACAAATGGATGAGATTTTCAATGATCGTGTTACAGCTGAAGAACAAGCTGATAAAATGACTGATATTTGGCTACTTGAAAACATTTGGGGTTATATCAAAGAGAAATTGAAAGGAGAAGAAATTAAAAATGTATCGATGTTGAAAAATAAAATTATAGAGACTTCGAGAACAATCAGTCCACAAATGTGCTCGAAATTGATGAATTCAATTCCAAGAAGATCACAATGTTTAATCAACAAAGAAAGCTATTCAGTCAACAAAAAAGACTATAAAGATTTATGAAAATGTGAAATATTCTGTTGTTTGTTATTGTATTAACAGTGGAAATTAATTATTCTAGGCATTTCTGTTGAATAAAATTTTTGATTTTTTTTTGGGACATGGAAAAAAAATCTTCTCTATCATAGGAACCTATATATCTTTCCTATATTAAGAACTAGAGATCTGAAGATTTGAGGTAATATTCATCTAGTTACAAGGAATTAGACATCCAATTTTGAACACTTTTGGATTTGTTGTAAAGGGAGAACGAGCAATTTTTCTAAGAACGACCAAGACATTTGGATCACCCTTTAAGCAAGGACGAAACGCGTCACGGTTACTTACCTCACCCCGCTATTACCTTTGACTGAATATTTTATCAAAAAGAACTTCTGAGTTTTGGACAGACTGACTTGATCATGAAAAATAATAGATTTTTTTTTGGCCATGTTTGCCTACTTACGAAATAGCTGTCCTTGTCGAGCAACCGTCCGGTAGACCAATTTCTGGCGGACAAGTAGACGTATAATAGCGTGATGATCTGGTTGTATTATATGCTAGCGTTTAATATCTTAGATTATTGATGAAAGTATGCAATAAGAGATTATCATATGTCTGATCATTATCAGACAAGAAAGACATGTATTGTATATCTATTTTTTATTAGATTTAAATAGATCAAGTAATCATTAAAAATATAAGAAGACAAAAAAGAGGTTCACTGGAAAGACGATAAAATAGTTTAAATAAAAACGTTTTTATTAGACGTTGTATTGGTTGTAATTAGTTGGCTGTTACAAATTCTAAAGTGAAAAACCAAAACGAATTACTGCTTTAATAGTTTATACATCATTGACTCACGTTGTCTAATTGTCATATGCAAATATTGTATTGACATTGACAAAATACGGTTATATACCTGATTTATAGGAGTACAACATAAGTCAATGATCTTCATCAGTACGCTGAACAACTATTTTACTTCCACCGAACTAAAAGGTTCAGCTTGGTTACATAACAAGTGATCACATTGGCAACACATACATCTTACCAATCTAATGATAGAATTTAATCTATTTTTAAAGTGGTCAGGATCAACACGGTCAAACCACTCAAATAAAGCGATTTATTTAATATAATCTTACGAACCTTGAATTCAACTACGTCGCTCTCATCCACGCAAATGTTTATAGATCATCAATAAAATAAAATCCACATTGGCAACGCATATATCTAACCAATCTTGAATTCAACTACACCGCTCTCATCCACGTAAATGTTTGCGAATGACGCCTATAATACTGTTTTTATTAAAAACAATTATACCTCACCATACCTCAGTCCCACCAGCTCATATGCGCCAATGCAAATGTTAATGGGCCATTATTTAAAGTGGTGTTCACATTAGAAATAACTACTTCAGACTAAAATTGAGTACAACTGTATCAAGCTCGTTGATACGAATGCTTACGGCAATAACTAAAATGATGATTATATGTAAACCGAATACATCCGAGTATGTGCGATAGTGGCTGTATTTGTAGTTGTAGTTGTGATTGTTATTGTAGGTACAGTTATGATTGTGGTTGTATTTGTAGCTGTAGTTGTAGTTGTAGTTGTTATTGTAGGTGTATTTGTAGTTGTGATTGTGGCTGTATTTGTATTTGTCGTTGTAATTGTGTTTGTGTTTGTATTTATAGTTGTGATTGTGGTTGTATCTGTAGTTGTAGCTGTAAGATTGTGTTAAAATACGTTATCTTTATCGTCGCCTATACTTACAAACCATGATCAAATTAACGACCACATTAGAATGAAATACGGCTTAGGAAGGTCAAGTTCAACTACATAATGATCAAAAACGGGCATATTATGCGATTATATTCAAAATAATGTTGACATGGAAAATATCTGATAAAGATTGAGTTCAACTGCATCGTGCTTATTCCCACAAATATTTAAGAAGTGTGACAAAAGTAATGTTCATATTTGAAATAAATATATTTGAGGAAGATAGACTTCAAGTATGGCACGCTCATTTACGCAAATATTTACGTGTCATGACGAAACTAATGTTCACATTTGATACAAATACATTTAATCAAAATTGCATTCAACTATTTTGCAACATGTAAAGCATTATTCAGCAGCTACTAAGATGAATGAATATCATCAAAAAATAGAATATTGCTGATTAGGATTCAGTTAATTTTCTTGTTCACTTCAAACCAACTATCCACAGTTCATGACATACTTGAAGGTAGCAACAATAATGAATGGTTTTGACGAAGATTCTGTTCAGCTATTTGGCCAACCTTAAGGTGGGCGCTATCAACACGCAATAGAAACAAGAATAACGTCAAAAGTAAAAACTTTTGTTGCAAGAAGTCTGTCCATCTATGTTTCTTGCTTAATATGTGCAGTTAGAGATTAGAAACATAATGAAAAATCGCAAAGTATATCAACAATCCGAACAACATTTCAAGTAAACTATGTGATCACTTTGTAGTGAAACTCTTCACCCAACCTTTTCGTTCAATATTACATGAAAAACGAATATTATACAAAAAGAATTGGTTTTCTTATCGAATTCATATCATGACAAATACTTTCAGTTGTCAACATTATCAAGCAACATAGAAAAATTGAATGATTTTTATTGAAGTTTCATTCTTTAATTTGACTCGTCGCCATCAGAAAAGAAGTGAAAACATGTATAGTCGATCGGCACAATGTAATAGACAGTTCTCGCAACGTTCCAATTCCGAAATCATTTTTACATAAACAAAAATATCTGCACTTTAAGACAAACTAGTATATCAGATAACAATCATATGCACTTAACAAAAGTGCTGTTCAGCTATTTTCTCATTATCCTGAAAAGGAACATAGTTCTTCTCATGACAAAAAATGATATCAGAAATGAATAATCCTCATCAGAGTTCTGTTCGAATATTTGACCAAATTTAAAGAGAAGGTGTGCATCTCGTGACATGACTAGATATAAAATCAAAAATAACAACTTTCTAGTAAGGATCAGAAGAAATATTTTGTTCCCTCGAAACGTAGATGTGAAGTTCATCAAATCACTGGAGATGACAACTAAAATGAATACATCATAGCACTACTATATCCAGCTACTTTGTTGGTTTTGCAGAATGATGTGCAATTCGTGACATGATCAAAAAGGTCACAGCATAAAAGAATAACTGAAATTAAGGCTTCATTTAAATATTTGGTTCACTTCGAATAGACAGTGTGCAGCTACACATATAATCCAAGATCATATCAGAAATTAATAATTCCTATTATAACCTTAGTCATTTATTAAGTTCACATCAAAATGAAGGTACACGGGTTAGAAATACAACGAATTCATATCAAATACGGATATATTTAAACAGAATTTTATTCAACAAGTCTATTTCTCTTGCTTGAAGATGCCAACTTTCAACTGACATAAATGATCACAACGGTAATGAATACCTCTAATTAGAATGCTGTTCAACTAGAGTTCTTGTTTTAAAAAGATGCATCTAATGTGGTATTTGATGAAAGATTACATCGGAAAAGAATACTTGCAAGGAGATTTTCATTCAATCTTTTAGATCACAACGAAGTAAGAGTGTGTAGTTCGAGATCACACCAACATTGGCATCACAAATGGATAGTTTTAAGGAAGATTTTATCCAAAAAGATTGTTCGTCTCCGACAAGAGTGCAGTGTTTCAACTATGATCAATGATCGCAGTGGTAAGGAATACTTCTAAACATTACCAGGCCTTGATTCAACTAGTTCATTCAGTTCCCATCAAATGTTTGAAATTAAGGCAATACTAAAGATTACAACAAACATGAATACCATTGATAGGCAGTTGTGCATTCTGTTATTTATATTACTTCGTCACAAAAGGTTACAATTTATGGCATAATTCACCACCACATCGCAACTAAATAAATCGTATCAATACTTTGTTCAACTTCTCTGCTCACTGCGATACGAAGTTGCACAGTTTGTAATATGACCAACGACAGCATCATTGACTAACAATTCTTACGAAGTCTCTCATCAAGTATGTTGCTCACTTCAATTTGAATATCCACTGTTGATGACTTGATTGATGATTACATCAAAAATCAATAATTTTAAGCAGCATTCTACTCCACTTTTTTAATCACGTCGGACTAGGATGATACATACCGTCACTCAATCACAAATTACATCAGGAACGAATAATTCTTATTAATACACTACTTAAAAATATTGCTTACTTCGAAGTAAACATCAATGATTGGTGATATGATTAATGATCACATCAGAACAGAATGATTCCTACCAGAGTTCTATTCAACTAGCTGTCTCAATTACAGATGAAACTCTTGGGATAGTAACATGATAACAGATAACATCAGACATCCATACTTCGTACCAAAGGTTTCTTCAATTATTTAGCTCATTCCCAAGTAAATAAAAGCAGCTGTGGTTTAAAACCACCCTTACAACACAAGTAAAAAATTCTGAAAATGACTTTATTCATCTTGTTTTCTAACTTTCCAATAAAAATCTACAACTATTAACTTGATAGAAATTCACGGCAGAAATGAATTATTTTCATGAAGACTTTATTCAAATAGTTTACCTATATCGCGATAAAAGCACTCGCTTACCGACATTATCTCTCATCGCAACTAAAACGAGAAAGTCCAAGTAAGTCATCATTCGATTTCTTTCCTGAATCGAAATACGAAATTTCTAATTTAACGACCGACGTTAGGCTGCGTAGCAACTCAATCTCTCAAACAAAATTTCTATTCACATAAATTTGTCCTTTTGAATATAAAATCCGCAGTTCAGCAGAGATCCCAAGATGACAATCAAAATTAACAAACTATAGTAAGTCTCTATCCAACAATTTTCATCAGTCCTAAGTTCACCATCGCGATCTATCACTCGTTTCGAGATCATATCATAGAAGAAAATTCTTAGTGGGGCTCTCTTCAAATAATACACTCACTTTTCCAAGA